ACCCTGCCTGGCCAACTGAGGTGAAGCTGATCAGCTATTGATTATCTGACTGACAGCAGCTTCTTCAGCTGCAGTCATGCCTGTAATGATTGTGTTTGTGTGTAGGGGGCGTCCCCACTACTCCAAGTCTGTGACATTAGCAGCAGTGTCACCTTCACATCGACAGTGGGCGTGGTCTACACAGGGCCTGCCTTTGTGTGCCCCGCCCCCACCTTGCCTGACTCGATGCCACACGAATATCCCCCGGTGTTTCCTGTGGAGCTGCTGGTGCACACCCTGAGCAGGTGGGAGTATGCTCACTTGTCCTTGTTGAGATTGTGCAAGAATCTCGCTTCTCAGTTACTCTTGGACTCTAAAACAACCCAGGGTCCCAGACTTGAATCTACCGATTATTACCCTATGTTAGAGTTCTTGTAAAGTCCTCCTGGTTTGGTGGAAAGAATCTGCTGACTAGTGCTAATTTCTCCTTCCAAAAACCACATCCTTTTGCAACAAGTGAGTCAGATAGCCTTGAAGCCAGGGACTTCCTGCTTTCACACAATTTCTGCCCTTGCAATAGTTAGGTAATTCATTTTTAGTGCCTAGCCTTTACCCAAGGATGTTGTTTCAAAGGGTTTAGTCAGTGCCTTATTTTACTTAACTGAAAATATACTTTCTTATTTTTCATTATAACAGCTCATTCCTTTGATATGTGCCTTTAGAATATGAAAACAGTTAATTTATAATTCCAGGCTCCCTGAAACAGCAAACAAGTCATTTATTACTGATTACAGACCTTATTACAGTAAAATTCATGTTAATTTAAGCAAAGACAAACTGAAACATAATTGATTCTCACTTCATCTGTAATTACTTTGACAACATCTACCCAGTGACGTCCTCACAATGTATGTTTGATGACTAGGACCCGGATTTTGGTCCTTGACCATGTTGAGCAGAGCTTCAAAGACCTCCCAGGCTTGGTTGAGGCCATGGTGAAGGAAAGGAAAGAGTCAGTCCGATTGGAGCAGGAACTCCAGCTGAAAAGTGAATACATCAGGACCCACATTTACGAGCCCCGCCTCGGTAAAACACACACACTTCATTGATTATTTTAGTCATTTTAAACAATTTCTATGCTCTAACAATAACCCTAAAGCTATTCATTACCAGAGCATACCTCACCCTTACCTTGAAGGTCATAGACAACTTTTTCATCAAGGAATATTTTTTACAGTAATAATACATCCAAAGAACCTCTAGAGTGGCACAGAATAAAAGAAATGTCCTTAATTTTATTTAAAAAAAAAACCAAATAATTGCTTTATAAACCTTTACAGTTTATATGGGTCCAAATTGAATGTAATATTTGCTTTTCTTGATACCAACATCGACATAAAAGGATTCTGTACCAATAAGAATGAAATTATGTAGGATGGAGCTCAAGCCTGCCCATAGTCAGCTCTCGATGGCAACTGTCCTGCAGGTTTTAGAGGTTTCACTGCTTCAGCACAGCTGATTTCCATCGATAGCTGATTAAAAAGCTTTAGCTGAAGTGTAGTCATCGGAATCTGCTGTGCTGAAGCAGGGAAACCGTGAACACTAACTTTTGGCATGCCAGTTCTATTAGCTCCACAATAGAGCTAAGAAAGGGCTTCTTCTGTTCATTACATTGCTCAGAATGAAGTGAAAAAATAAATAAGTAAAAGAAGCAAATTGAGGGTGAACATTGGTCAAGCTTTTTTGCATTGGTGCCGACTTAAAGAAGCAAAGGGGCTCATATGCCATACAGAGGTTTCCGCTTTCCTTTTGGAAAGGTAAGTTTAACCTTTGCTAATGCTGACCTTCGGTTAGCATTAGTAGAACTGCTAACTTGCTGGCAAACAGAACAGAATGAAAGTGGGTTAGCACGATTATCCCTTTAACCCAAACTCAGTTCATACCAAGTCCTGAAAATGGAAAAGAGAGCCAGAAAAATGTCTTCACTTTGGTAAAAAAGCGGAAACCAGAATAGTGGTCCTCACTCTGATGCCAAACCAGGTTCAATAGCACACACAGATTACTCAGGAGTATCTCCATTCTTAGCTTTCTCCTTGAGAAATAAACTTCATGTCTACCTCCAGGTGAGGAAGATGGTTTTCTTCAATCATAATTTGCTTCTGTTGAAAACTGCTGAGCTGAAACAAGCTGGATGTTGACTTTGTTGTATGTTGTGTTGTATCATGGTTTAGACATTTTGACATAATAGTTCTCTGTAGGCTGTAACAGAACTGTAATAAAAGCAATAGAAGTGTGGCTGAAACCAAACCCTGGACTCTGTGAATGTTTAAAAAAACAACTTTTTTTCAGAGTCAGAACCAAATCAGGAAAGAAAAGGCTGTTTTGTGAGTGTATAAATGGGTCTGGAATTGTCAGAACCGGTTTGGTCATTTAGATAGTTTTTAATGAACTAACAGTAAAGTTATTTTGTTACTGAGACTGTTTCATGCTTGTTCTGCTACTGCTTGTCTGATTACCTTCTGCGTTTATATAAGCTGTTGTCATTTTCTATTATTTTTTATGTTTTATTATAGTCATTGTATGTTTCTTTTGTGCTTTCATGATCAGATCTTTCTTGAAAAATACATTTTACCCTCAGCGAGACCTGACCTCACCTGAATAATACAGAATATCACTGCATATAGGCCACATTCAGAGCTCCTGAGATGTTTGACTGACACCATGTTGTGTGTGTTTGTTTGTGTAGCTGAGCTGCAGCTCCATCAACAGCATGTGGACGACCACTGTCAGGACATGTTGCACATTTTAGCCTCCTGCAAAGAAGAGTTTCAGGGTCTTCAAAAATCTCTCCAGGAGGAGAACTTGGAGTTTTTGAAAGTTTTGAACTCGCACAGCAGGGAGCTGCAGGAGCTAAAGGCCTCCATCCAGAAGGATGCCCAGGATGGCCTACACATGGCGCTCACCAGCTGCAACCGGTAAGAACTGAACAATGATCAGTTGACACTCTGCAAAACTGCCTCTTTAACCTCCTCTGTGTCTGTCAGCCTGGACGCTTTTGGGTCCACCCTGCGGTCCTGCCTGGAGCAGCATGCTGCTGACATCCAGAGCCGTAAGGAGAACTTCAGACTGTCGATTCAAAGCAGAATGGAGGAGGTCAGAAGAAGAACATCACACCTTCTAAAGTCTTTCAGGTATATATTCAAAATTAATGCTAGCAGTAGGAGGTTAAAAATATGGTAATCATTCTCAGATGGAAGTTTTCTTCTCCTGTAGGAAGTTCCATGAAGGACGAAGTTTTGCTCCTAGGGAGGTAGAAAAGCTTCAGGGGAGCCTGCAGAAGAAAACCAGGCAAATTTCTGCAGCAGAGCAGAAAATATACAAGAAACTGATGGTTTTTGAGCCTGAAAGTTCAGACCAGGTAGGTTGGTCTTTAAAGGAGCGAGGTGACGGATGGAAACAGGCACTTCAAGTAGCAGGTAGTAAGGTGTCCATCAAAACTCTGAAAGCGTCTCTGTTCTGCTGCAGGTGAGGAAGGCTTCGACTTCCCTAGAGGACGAGTTTTCTTCCCTGCAAACTGAGGTGAAATTCAATGTGAAGATCCAGGAAATCATCAGCAGGACACAAATTAAGATCAGGGCTGAGGTACCTGTCAGCTTGTCCTTCTTTCTGTCTCGGACAACCTGTCCATGTCCACCATTTACTGTGTTAAACTCCTGCAGGAGGCCAAAAGCAACCAGCTGCAGTCTGAGCTTATGAACAACCTGAAGGAACTAAGGAGGATGATGAAGAAAAATCCGGTACTCTGTCCATTTTCAAAAGCTCTCCTTTCTGGAATAATCCAACTAAATATTGGATTTGTCCCTTCCCTTCCACGCTCCTGTTTGATCAGCCTCACAGTCTTCAGAATTAATCAGGCAATATCTGGTCCTGATCCTGTCTGTCTCCCTCCAGGTGTCACCAGAACAGATTTGTTCATTCATTTCTTCCACTAATGAAGGAATCAAGAAGCATTGCCTCTACCTGGGTTTTGATCTGGTAACTGACATCCTGTTACTTTGTCAGCTGTTGGCTGCCTCACACGTGTTGGTGCTTCTCAAATTATCCAATCTTTTTGTTATGCATTCTGTTAAATTTAGATTCAAACTTATACCGTATTTCAGAACCTGAACATCATACCTCCAGTTAAACTCAATGTTGGAAGTGTGATGGTACGGGCTGATTTGCTGCTGCAGAACCTGGATTACTTGCCATGATTAATGGGAACATGAAATCTGTCCATAAAAACCCTGCCAACCCCACCTGTGACTTTAAAAACTGTTTTTGAGTGGCTCAGGTAAAGTCTACTTTGATTGACAGGCTATTGCAGAAACTGAAATGGGAGAATCCTCCTGTGTGACTCAATTGAATGATCGTGCACAGCATAATGGGCTAATATTCCTCCACAGTAATGTTAAAGACTCATTACCAGTCATTATTAACCATTAAAGGGGAAGATGGCTGCTCACACTAAGCCTGGTTCTGCTGGAGGTTTCTTCCTGTTAAAAGGCAGTTTTCCTCTCCACTGTCGCTACAACCATGCTTAGTGTGAGGGATTGCAAGTGGGGTCAATGAGTCGATGCAATCAACTGGTTTTCCTTAGATAAAAAACTTTGATTTAATGAACTGAACTGAAAAGAGCCTTGAGATGACGTGTGTTGTGAATTGGCACTATAGAAAAAAGCTGAATTGAATTGAAGTAAGCAGTTATTAGGCTGCAAATACCTTTTCACAAAGTGTCAGGTGGTTTGGGTAGATTTTATTTCCTTTATAAATAAAATCATAATCTGAAACTTTCAGGATGCGAAAAACATTTAAAAAAGTGCTCGTTCAGGATGTCTGATATTCATTTTTAAAATTAGTTTGACACAAAACGAAAAATGATTATTTTGGCCTTCATGAAATGTCTCTTATATAAGCACACTGACAGAAGGACTCCACACCTGCTTTTTTAACCAGAAGCACCTGTATGCTGCACACAGAGTCAATCAGATCATACCTATTGTGACTGCTAATAGGATAGTAGAGGCCTAGCTACCAGGGAAGGAATCCCTGGAAGGAGCGATGCCAGCAGAGTGGCTGTACTTTGAGTTAGAGACTGCAAAAGGTTCTGCAGTGACAAAAACAGTGCCAAATTTGTTATGTACATCTCGAGTGGTGTAATCAAAGTATTAGTTTTACTGAAAACAATCTATAAATCCTTGTATAATGGAATTTTATAGGTCCAAAATCTATAAATTTTTACCTCTGGTAATGATGCCGACTTTGATTTGAATGGATTCGGCAGCAACATAAATGCCTGCTGCAAGTTACAACAATAGTGTTCCCAGATCCTAGTAGCTCTGTAATAGATCTGAGAAATGGCTGGGCTGCTGACTGGACCGGACCGGGCATTTGAACCGAGCCATCAGCTCCGGGGCTGGTCCGAAGCCGACCTGGTGACGGTATGCTGCCTGCCTTACCATGCTTCCACCCGACTCCCTTACCGTGCTTCCACCCGACTCCCTTACCGTGCTTCCACCTGCCTGCCTTACCGTGCTTCCACCCGACTCCCTTAAGGATGGAGGGGCTCACTAACTATTTGCTTTAGACTATAAATTTACAGTAAATCTGCATTATATGTGGTGTCACTGAAAAGCC